CACTTTTGACTTGCAGTGGCCACTAACTTCATAGGCAAGTCTAATATCTAACATTTTCTTGAGTACCCTTAAATTTTAAACTGCTGGTAATTGACCCTTTTTCGATATATTTAACTTCATTTTTTTTCAATTTCAGGTGATGATTTTAACTAGGAAAGAAACTGATAATAGGTAATATGATCCCCTGATCCTCCTCTGTTTCATTCTTAGACAGTTTGTTGCTTCATGCATTTTCTTTTTCACCGGAATGAAATGAAGTTTCGATGTGAAAAATACAAAGGTTTCTGTGCCGGTGCTGCAGGCATACTGATCAGCTGCGTCGCCTTCTATTTCTGGCTACAACGTCGCCGTGGCAAAGAGTTCTTTAAATGGTCTTTCCTAACAAGCAAGAGTCCGCTCTTTGGTGGTCAATTCTGAGAAGGGTTATAGCTTTGCTTGCATCCATGTATTCACCTATGAGGAACTTGAAGAAGCTACCAACAATTTCGATTCCGATAGGGAACTCGGTGATGGAGGCTTTGGAACTGTATATTATGGTAAGAAAAACTTTTTACTCGATAATCAGTTTGTCGAAAAGTCATCGTTTTCATTCCCGTCTTCCTTAACTAGGCAAACTTCGAGACGGCCGTGCTGTTGCTGTTAAACGCTTCTACGAGAACAACTACAAGAGAGTTGAGCAATTCATGAATGAAGTTGATATCATAACTTGGTTGCGCCATCAAAATCTTGTCTCACTTTATGGAAGTACCTCTAGGCACAGTCGGGAACTCTTGCTCCTATACGAATATGTTTCAAATGGCACGGTTGCAGACCATCTTCATGGTGAACGTGCTAAACCAGGGGCACTCTCTTGGCACATCCGGTTAGAGATAGCCATAGAGACAGAAAATGCATTGAGATATCTACACGCTTCGGATACCATCCACCGTGATGTGAAAACCAACAACATCCTCCTCGACAACTATTTTCGCGTTAAGGTCGCAGATTTCGGCCTGTCTCGACTCTTTCCGATCCACGTTACACATGTTACCACCGCTCCACAAGGGACTCCTGGTTACGTCGATCCCGAATATCACCAGTGCTATCAGCTCACTAGCAAGAGCGATGTATTCAGCTTTGGGGTCGTACTGATTGAGCTAATATCATCGAAACCAGCCGTGGACATCATGAGGCACCGCCACGAGATTAACTTGTGGAACATGGCGATCAACAAGATTCAAAACGGAGCATTGCATGAGCTAGTGGATCCGTCTCTCGGATTCGAAATGAACAACAAGGTTAGGAAAACGATAACCGGAGTGGCAGAGGTGGCTTTCGGGTGCCTGCAGAATGAGAAAGACATGAGACCGACAATGGCACAAGTGTTGGAGGCTTTAATGGGAATAAAGAATGAGGATTACAAGAAAGAAAAGGCAGAAGAAATGGATACGTTCCCAGCAGAGGAAGAAGGTGGGTCGTTGAAGAGCGGACCGTTGCCTTCTCCAGATTATGTGATGTTACAATGGGTTAGTAATGGCGGTTCTTCTACAACTACAACACCAAGTTTCTAAAATTCCACAAACACATAGGTTAACATCTACTTACACAATATAAAACTAACGTGAATATATTCTCATTTCTTACGTTAATCTCAACCATATATTTTCACTCATCTAACAATACTAAATCTATATAAAACTAAAAGAATTTTATATTGTATAACATGATACATACATACATACATATATACATACATACTGGTAAATGAGATTTATGTAAATATTATCATGTATATGTAAGGATAAGGCGTGAATGAAAGGTAAACTACAACATCATCATTAAACTTTTAACGGAGAGATATCAAAATGAAACATGAATTAAATATTAAATATTATTTTGAAATAAAATAAAGTTTGAGTACCAAAATAGAATATAAATAATAGTTTAAATACTAAGTATGTAGTTTACCCTTTATTTTTTGGCAGTGTATATTGTAATGCAAGTATAACAATGGAATCTATTTCTTAGTTTTATGAGTGTTTTCCTGCATAGCATTAGAAGTTAATACACTGGGCCCTGAACTTTGCAAGTTTTGTTAAATTGGCTCTTAACTCTTTTTAATCAAATTAGTCCCTGAACTTAGCACTTTTATTAAATTAGCCCTTAAACTTTTGGGGTCAAATTGCTCAACTTTTGATTTACTTTTAAAAATATAATTAAATAAAATATTTATTTAATAAAAAATAAGTAAAATGATTAGTTTGGTGCATTTTATTTAATAGAAAACAAAGGCCAAGGAGTATAAAAGTCCCTAAACTTTTTTTCTTCAAAAAAATCAATTAAATCTCTTTATAAAAAGTACATCAATTAAGTTATAAGCCCATTGACTAATAAAATCGTCGGTGATTACTATTGTGTAGATATTATGGTCAACATGTGAAGGATTATTAACGTATCATAGAGGTTTAATTGATTTTTTCCCTATAAAGTCAAATTAACAAAATGACGACTTGAGTTTAAGGTAAACTAAGAAATTTGGTAGCATCTAAACAACTTAAATAAATTTAATACTTTGTTTTTAGTTAAAAAAATTATATTATATATGTATATTTAAATTTAGTTAACGTTAAATTTAAAATAAAAATAGATCTAATACTTCGTTTAAAATAAAAATAAATTCAATACTTTGTTTAAAATAAATTTCTTTTATAAAATGAAAATATATTTTATTTACAATTTAAATTATAATCAATTGAGGAATTTGGTAGCTACTTAGTTATTAACGGTGAAACGGGTGGTGATACCGTTGAATTAGATATCAGCAGTGCTATCACGGCAACTCCAGTTAAAAAGAAAGGTAAAATAAGACTTCTGAAGCTCTCTCTTATAAATCTACTCATGAATTTTCAGATTGTGATACATCTTTACCACCAAAGTTTCCTCCACCTCCTGCGAAGACTGTTCTACCGGTGAAGTAAAAGGCTTCCCCAATCAAGGCATGACAATCGACCCTGAAATCCACTGCCGGGACACAACAACAGTAGCAGAGGAGGCTTTCCAGAAAAAAACACACCAGTGCAGTCACCTCACCAAAGAAAGGGAAACGTGTTAAGCACACTGCAGGAAGAAGGATCTTGTGAAGAGACCAACAACAGCAACATCACCACCATAGAGATTCTTGCCTCTTAACTTTTATTTTTCTTTTTAGTTGTTTATTTTATTTCTTTTGTGCCATTGCTTGTATTCATTTCATTAGCATTTCGTATTTTGCATGCATTGGAGACAGTACCTCTGATTAAATTTGAGGGTGTTATTCTTTATTTTTATGTTTGTATGTTTAGTATTGCATTACAGCCTTGTTTATATGTTTGTATGTCCTAGTATTACATTACTTACCACGACATTTAGATAGTTGAAACTATTAAACTTATGTACTGACTTATGATGAGATAATTATCACGACAACCGATGTCCTGAACTTTTAAACTTAAAGGCTAGTTTGAGATTGAAATGAGGATAATTGTGATGCTTTGACAATTTAACATTGTTGTGAATGTTTGATTTTTGGGTAACCTTAGAAAATTGTTTTTTATTAAAAAAAATTGAATAAATTGCTATAGGTGTCTATCTAGCGCTAGCTTATTGAATAAAATTATTGCAGTAGTACTTTTAACTCCAGGACCTATCGTTGCTAAGACTAATTTAGTGCACTTAGTTTACACTTAGTAGGAAAGATAATCAAATTCATGTATGAACAAATGAAAGCCTTCACACGATGACTTTACTCAATAGGCTAGAGGGTTCGTTGTTTGCTCTATCTTATCTTATTTTTAGGTCTGGGAAAGTAGTTGTGATGAACCAAAGTGCTATTTGACTTGCCATGAACATTCAAATAAGTAAACTTATCATGGGAATTCACTCGACAAAGTCACGACTTTTCGTTGCTCTTCCTTTTCATTATTAATTGATTTTCTCTGCTTAATCTTTTAAACTTGTCGTGACAGCACAAATTATTGTGGCAATCAATAGTTTAATTTCTCATTTTTACTCTTCATTTCATTCACTTAATATTTCTCTCATCAAATCTTATTTTCCTGTGTAGTACAAAGACGCAAAAAATACAATCTCACAAATTCCCGTAGAAATGATCTTGATCTATACTATTACTTAGGACGAGTAAACTTGCAACAATTGCATAGTATTAAAATCACCCAACACAGGAATTCTATAATAATTTAAAAACACGTGATTCAAATTTAATAAAAGGTAAATATAAGACAAATGAAGAAAATTATGAACCAAATCATAAAACTGTCAAAATATTTAAATTAAATTTTCAGTCTCGAACTCAAAAACTAACTCGATAATTCAAATTGACCCAAATTCAGAATTGGAAAAAAAATCACTGGTAGAGTTTTGTTCCCTAAGATCTCGTGTAAAACTTCTTGTAAGCATCTTATATGTTTCGTGATGTTAAATTTTAGTTTAGCTCAGCTGGTGAAGAGGGAATGGAAATTGATTATGTCCCGGTTGCTTAGTTTAGCGGATGACACCACATGATAAGTAAAATCAAGAAAGCTATAAATACAACATGAAGTGTTTAAAATTTTATATATGATTCAAAAAATTCGTAGTACTTTTATAAAAACGGTTCATATCAATTCAATAGATTTGATAATTTAATTGATTTATTCAATTACTAACATATAAATCGAACTCACAGAAATGTTCCTAATTCTACATTTCTACTGAAAACGCAATTAATAAATGAATAAATCAAGCCTATATGCATTCTACGAGGTAAAAAATACAAATTTTTTGATTTGAAATAGTTGTATGTAAAAAAGAAAGGAATGAAAACTTAACAATAACGTTATAATTAACTCATAATATCCCTACACCATTTAATGCAATACCATATTATCAACGAAAATAAAATCCATCCATTGTACAACCACTTTGTTCGGCACCACGTTAGTGTCAAATTTAAATAAAATACCCAAACAAAAATGCAGTTTTTCAGGAAAAACAAGAAACAAAATACGACCAGAACGATACCACATTTGTAAAACGACTTTATTTATGCCTCTGCAACTGGGAACTCGAACACAACATCCTTTCCAGCAAGCTTCCGGTACACTGCAGAAAAGGTCTCGAGCTTATACTCCGTGTTATTTCGTTCCTTGGGGTCCAAAAGTACCTAATTGTAAAAATGCGTTAGCATTCAAGACAACAATTGAACCACACATATACAGATATACAAGGATTACAATTCTTTCACTCGTCAAGATTAACAGCCTACTAATTATGACGGCGGTTTGTACCTTCATTATCTTTGATCCATCAATTCTGTATCTAATGCGCTTCCCAACAATCTCAGCAGGTAAAACAACATCTTCCAGCATTGCTTCATGTACAGCAGTCAATGTGCGGCTGCGAGGCCTCTGGGCAGCAGAACCCTTCTTTGGAGGTCTCAATATCCTCCGAGTGGCAATAAGAATCACATCCTATAAAATATACATAAACTAAGTTTTTAAACTTAAACCAAAAACATGAACATCATAAATAAAGAATACAAATTTTAAACAACAAAATAAATCACAAAGATATGTCAATTTATGATATAAAACATGATTTAATTCTCATCTTTCCATCTGGAGAGAACAATTCCACTGATGATAGCATCTTACGCATAGCATACAAATTAAATTGTTACAAAAAATTGCACAAAATGATTATTAACTTATAATAAATTGTAAATCAAATGAACCTATCCATACTTCTTTCAAAGGAAAAAATGTGAGGGAGAATTTCTCACCTTGCCACTGAACTTCTTTTCAAGTTCCCTCACAAGCTTCACATGAACCTTGCGAAAAGCTTTCCTCAATCGGTAGGGGACATGGATAACAACAGCTTTCCGGCTTCCAGACACATCAATTTGGCTGCATGTAAACAAATTACACCAATCATATGAAGGACACATACATAAGTCAATTTCCAAATAATGCATCTCGATAACTCATGTGTACATTGCTGAATTAATGTAGAGATCTTTGAGGTCACTTTTCAGATCCTGGTTGGTATTCTCCAAATCGACAAATGCCTGTTACAAACAAGCATACATGATTTAATCATACTCATGATTACACTTTTTTAGGAAACATTCAAAGTGCAACAAATATTAGAACATTTTAAAACCTGGGCAACAGATTCCTCAAACTCCGTTGGTTCAACATCTTTATCCTTGTGGATCTTCTTCCTTGACGTATACATCTTCAAGATCTGCATCGTGGGATCATTTAGGGTATGGAAAACGATGAAAATGAATTTTTAAACAACATATTGTAAATAGAAATAAGATTGAACTTGAAACTCAAATGCCCAAGTTATTTCAGTGAGAAATTTCAGAAGCTAAGCTCCAGCTTTTTATTCTATGGTTCAATTTATGACCAAAATTATTTCACCATATTCAAATTCAATAACAAGATAGATACTTCATAACAGCAAGATCAAAACAGCATTTGTTTTGCACTTTCCTACAATTATTTGCTTAGCAAATAAACAGGCCACTGTAACAGAAAGATCAACAGCCCTATCCCTGTTTAGATGTAGGACAGTAGGAGAAACCTTAACAAAAACACGAATTCTTAGGCTAAATGAAAAGCTGTAACTGAAAGAGAAGAACAGGAGAGTAGAAGAGGAGGCACTCTTTGAACGATATTGCCGATTGAGAAAAGTCCTAGGGTTTCAAGATAAATTGACTATTTATAGTGTGACCTTGAAGGCCACGATTCTTTATTTCACACGTGGACGGCCTGATTAACATTGACGATCATCGGAAGCTAAAATTTGAACCGAAATTTTGAACTATCTTTTTTTAATGGGCCTCTTTTTGATTTTATGGGCTTTTTTAGAATATGGATACTAAACTCACTTGTTTTATTCCTTTTTGAATTAAATTTAATTACATAATAAAAATATATTTTGTTTACATTTAATTATAAAAATAATAATATAAATTGTATTTTTAATTTAATATTTTTAAAATAAATTTATTTATTTGGAAAGACTCGAGATTAAAATTAAAGAAAAAAAACTAGAATCGAACCTCAATCTGATTATATTCATGGACATCTCTAAATGTAATCCCTTGAACATATTAAATGGACTAAATTTTAATTAACTTAGTTTCATTTATACGGTCATTAAGTTAATCAATTAAATAAATTTGTTTATTTGTTTATGTTTCAATTTGTTAATTTGTTTGAAATGTAATACTCTATATAATTTATTTTATGTATATTTTGACATATTTATATAATATAATAATATATTTGTATCATATTTATGTTATATTTTCTATTATTTTTTAAATATTATAATTTGTTATCGTTCATATATATACAATGGAGGACAATTTGCTATATACAATCAACAATATCCTCAATCGAACAAGTGACCCCTGTAAACTGCATACAGTTACGTTCTTTCCAAATGCTATATAGAAAACCAGCCCAAACAAACTAAATAATACAAACAATGAGTGATTTTCCCTTCAAATTCTCCTTTGTCCAATACAAATCTTCATCCCAACTCGAGGCTCTACGTTGCAGTCTACAAACCTGCATCACCTTTCCCCAAACACTATAAGAGTAACAACATTCAGAGAACAAATGGTTCTTAGACTCCTTGAAATGGCAGAACACAGTGGTGGCTAGTGAGGGCCACAGACCCCAAAATTTGAAAAATTATAATTTAAGCTTTTAAAATTTTAAAAATATTTAATTTGGTCCCCATACAATTTTTAAAAATTCATATTAATCTTTAATTTTTTTTTGAAAATTCTTAATTAAACCCTCCCATAATTTTTAAAAATTCTCATTAAGCCTCTCAAATTTTCAAAAACTTTAGTTAGACCCCAATTTTTTTTGAAAAAAATGTAAACTGAACCCTTCAAAATTTTCAAAAATTTTAATTTAAACCTCTAAGTTTTTTAAAATTTTAAGTTGGCCCCCCCAAACTCTATTATCAAGTTTCTCTACTGACTCCCTGCCAACTCCACATAAACTACATCCTTTTTCCTTTTCTTCTTTTGTGTTTCTATTTTCTACTAAACAATAGTGGTGAGATTCCAACGGTAAATGTAGCTCATGTATTGGGGAAAAAGACCTGTAGTTGCACTCTTCCAAGTTCCAATGACTCAACCTTAAGGGGTGTTTGGATCAAAGAATGTGAGATTCCCATGGGAATGAATCCATATTTCCATAGGAATGGAATCCATATTTCCATAGGAATGGAATCCACATTCTCATGTTTAGTTGGCCGAGAATCTCATTCCCGGTAATATTTTATTACCAATAGTAGATTTTTTTGGGTATATTATCGGGAATGTTATTACCTCCATTTCTTTAGGCATTGTTGGATTACCGGCATTTTGGACTAAAATGCCCTTAATTTTTTTTTCAAAAACATCATTCTTCTGTCATTGAATAATAAAAATTCTACGAATGTTAAATTACAAATTTATCCTTAAATTATTTTAGATTTACAAAAAAGTTTATAATTAAAATTTTATATGAAGTTCAGGGATTAAAATAAAATTTTACCCTTTCATTAAACCTTTTTATATTTTCAATTTTGTAAAAAATATATATATAAAATTTATGAATTTAAAAATTTTAAAGAAAATATATAAATATTTTCTAACTTGTTAAAAAACAAATATATAATAAGGACAATTTGGTCAAATATACATTCCAATAATCTTTTATTCATTTAACCAAACACGATAATCTTACATTCCTGCTAAACTAACCAAACACAAAATACAACATTCTCAGTAATTCTATTCCCTAGTACTCTTATATTCCCACTGATAATCTTACATTCCATGAACCAAACGCACCTTAAAAGTAATCATCTTCTTCCTAAGTCAAAGAAATCCTTTTCGAGGGAGGTGAGTTTGTGGACGAAACACATCTTAATAGTGGCTCAAATTCAATATATGATTAGTAGACTAATGGGAAATCCAGGGCACCAAATCCTACTACCTATCAATATTGCTCAAACTACATCCAAATTTGGACAAAGGCTTTCATTTTCACAACGTTGAGAATTTTCAATACCTATAGTCTATAAATTTATACCACTTTATCTTGGTTTGTTATGGAAGCCTAGCAATTCATGCCTTTTGTAGAAATAAAAATTAAATGTTGTTGCCCACTTGCCAAACACACATCTCACATGCATTGGCTTCACTTACTTTAATTTTTCGTTGTCTTCAACTTGAATATTACATTAATTTTTTCATATTCATTTATGAGTTGTTTTTTGTTTTCATTAATTTTATGGGTTAATAATATAAAAATCTTAAATTTTTTAGGAAAAAACAATTTTGTCTTTAATTTTTTTTACTCCCCTTTAAGTTCTTGTAATGATAAATTAAATTAAGTCCTCGAATTAAAAAATTACATAAATTAAGTTTTTTGACAAATTTTTACTATTAAATCTTATCGGTTTTGAGTTATCTGCAATGTGATACACTGTGTTGTCACGTGAAATTTTAATTTTATTTTAAAAAATATTTTAAAATCTTAAAAAATTCTATTTTTAAAAATATTTCAAACTTATAAAATATGGATTTTTTTTTATTTTTTTTAAATTTATAAAATTTATTTTAAAAACTAAAAATATTAAACATTTTTAAAATTAAAAAAATATTATTTTTTAATAAATTCTAAAATATTAAAGAATTATTTTAAAATTATAAAATATTATAAAATTATTCTAGAATATTAAATAATTACTAAAATATTTTTAAAATATTTTAAAATTCTAAAATATAAAAATAATTATTAATAATTATAAAAAATATATAAGAATTTTTATGAGTCAATATAGTTGGAATGTGAGCTACCTATATGACTTGATATATTACAGATGTTCAATCAATATATTCATGTAATTACAATTTAGATTATAATTTTAGACTTAAGGGGTGACTAAAAAATATTTTTTAAAAATAAATAAAGATATATATATTCTCCAATATTGTAATTTTTATTTTTATTTTTCAAAATATAGTAACACATATTTTATTTTTCAATCTATTGCACATTGAATAGTAAATTGAAAGACGGTAGGATTCCAACCCATTTTCATTGTTCATATAATTTGTTTGAATAAAAAAATGAGAGATGGTTGCCATACAATCCGTCTTCACTATTCACAAAAAAAAATAACTACAGTTAAAACGGTGTGTTTACAAACCATCTTCATTATTCACAAAAAAGAGCTACAGTGAAGACTTTGGGATTACAACCCGTCTTTATCATTCACAAAAAATCAATCCACAATACACTGTTAACCCAAAAAAAAACTGACACGAGTCAGCGTGCAGGCAACAATAAATTAAGGAGGCAAGTAAGGGTAAGTGGTATTTATTATTCAAAGAAAATAAAAAATGCTTTCAATTAAATTGTTTAAAAAAAAGGGTTGTTAGCAGTAGCAGGCAACAACAAGAGGTAAGCAGTCATTGGAAATTTAAAAAGCTGGTGTAGTATGGTTGTGGATTGATGGATGGAAAAAATATGGTTGAAATTTAAAAATTTTGTATTAAATAGGAGAGATTGTTGAAGTTAATTTAGAAAAACAATTGTAGAAGCTGAAGAAATAGTAAGTAGAAATTAAGTAATATTATATCGCTAATTTTTTTTTAATTTTTAAATCATATATTATAGTTAATTTGATTGTTGATGATGAATGTTACTAAAATTTTAATATTATGCATGTAATTTGAGAAGAATGAAAAAATTGTAAAAGAAAAAGAAGAAAAAGGAGAAGAAAGACAAGGAACAAGTAGAATCTACTAGTAAGTAGATGCATATTTTATTTTTTAATTGTGATATTATATCGTTAACTTTGGTTTTAATATTATGCATGTAATTTGAGAAGAATGAAAAAATTGTAAAAGAAGAAGAAGAAGGAGATTTTTAATTTTTGAATTAAGTAATATTATATTATTAATTTTGTTTTTATTTTTTAAATTAAATATTATAGTTAATTTGATTGTTTATGAATATTAATATTTATGTAGAAAAATTTTGCATGTTATAGTTTATTTTTTAGTTATATATATTTATGATGCAGTAGTGTATTTTTTTAATTTATTTTTAAAGTAATTTATTGTTTTTATTCTAATATAATACAAGTAATTTTGAGAAGATATAAAGAAAAAGGAGAAGATTTAAAACAAATTTTGGCTTATATAAAAAAATTAATTTATATAATTTGAATTTAAATTTAAAATTTCTTAAAAAGATAGAGCAACAAAATTAAATTTAAATAAAAAATATCTAAATTTTTTATTTCTAACTTAATTATAATTAGATTATTAAACCATTAAAAATAAAAATTATATAAGATAAGATAATATATAGATATTTTTTTGTATTTAAAATGTAATGGAGGAATATTATTTTTTATTTTATTAAACCTTTAGGGATTAAGTGTGTAGTTTAATTCACTTTTTTTGAATATATATAATAAATTCATGATATTTTTAAAAAAAAATTAGATTCGATTATTTTATTCTTATTTTTAATAAAATAAGGTCTAGAATTTAAATTTACATTGCATGTTATAGAATTGTTTAAAATTATTAGTGATTAATTAATTAATGATGATTAATTAATATAATTTAGAGTGAAAAAGGAAGATATAAAT